TTTCCCCTCTGAGGTGTAAGTTTGTATTTTGAACGGCACCTATAGGCCTAAATCTAATACATTGAGGCATGTCGCGTACATGAGAGGCGGAGTAGGGTCGCTTTTCAAGGATCGCCGTAAAAATAGCCTGGGACTCACTGGGAGGCTATCTTTACCGGCACGCCGTAAAAATAGCCTGGGAGGCTATCTTTAGTCTTTACGGCTCGCCGTAAAAATAGCCACTGCGTTTCTTCAAATTGTGATTCCTCCAACTCCAAAACAGGGGAAAAACGCATGACTCATGACGACGACAATGGAACAACAATGGTTACAACATCATCAACATCTAGATTCTAGATCTGACTCTAGATCTAGATCTAGAATCTAGAATCTAATTATTTTAGGCCTTGATCCAAACATTTCAACTGGGGGGGAATACAATTAGATTGTACGTCTATACTTACAAGCCATAATCAACAAAATAGTTATTAGATAAGTCATCCCTCTGTTCCAAATACGACGAAATTCAGTATGAGTTCAGTTATGATACAGCATACCGAAAGTTCACAGCTTTCCGATTTCCGATGTAAACTTTGTGACAGCCAAAGCGGATGTTAAACTTTTTAAATATTCTCTTCAAAACATGAAGTGTAAATTGTGTTTTGCAAATCAAACAAATCTATAGATTCTACCTACACCTCTCGCTTGTGTTTTGGGGGTTGTATCATAAGTGTCTCTCGGTTCATAAATCTGTTTTGAGCACCTAGAAAAATCATTTTTTGGACCATCAATCTCCATACTGATCAGAATTAACTGCTGCGTTGAAATAATCAAACCAACAACAACAACAACAACAACAACAACAATAACAATAACAACAACAACAACAACAGCAACAACAACAAAAAGAGAAAATAAGAGAGAACAGCCAATTAATTTTGGCCAAGGCCTACGTTTAGACTTAGCAAAATGGAGTTTGGTCAAACAAATAATAAAAGCAAAACCACGTTCTTTCCAAAATTAGAAGACACAGGAAAACACGCTATTCAAATTATAATCTCATAATATACCATTAATTTGGACTTTTGGGATTTAAAAAGAAAAACGATTATTATTTTAGCTCCTTGCTCTCTAACGTGGATAAACCAAACTGTGCCGGACCTACCCCGGTAAATTTCTATAAATTACAATAACGTGTAATAACGTTCCTTCTTATAATTGATGCATGCCTGACAAGCCTGCTTTTCTTAGAATAACTCCCCTATTAGGTTAACGAATCTTTCAAAAAAATTATTTATTTCTGACTAAGACCTGTAAATATCATGTATGTCTATTGTGTCGCTGCACTTATTTAAGTGCGGACCTACATGCTAAAGCACTTCTCACACATTTGGAACCGCTCACAGAATTCTACACTAAGTGTAGAATTCTGTGGAACCGCTACACGTTAATTAAGCAACAAGAAACTACATGTAATTTAAAACGGAAAATTGTTGTCATCATTCCAGTTGCTGCACACGGACCCCACGTAAAAAAAAAAGAACAGACAAATTATTTTTCATTCGTGTTAACTGCAGGGTGAGGTTACTGAATACACTATGCTACATATTACTGTAAACTCCTTGGCATAGGCGGACAGACAGACAGACAGACAGACAGACAGACGGACGGACGGACAGACAGACAGACAGACAGACAGACAGACAGACAGACAGACGGACGGACGGACGGACGGACAGACGGTCAGACAGACAGACAGACAGACAGACAGACAGACAGACAGACAGACAGACAGACGGACGGACGGACGGACGGACAGACGGTCAGACAGACAGACAGACAGACAGACAGACAGACAGACAGACAGACAGACAGACGGACGGACGGACGGACGGACAGACAGAACGACAGACAGACAGACAGAGAGAGAAAGAAAGAAAGAGAGAGAGAGAGAGAGAGAGAGAGAGAGAGAGAGAGAGAGAGAGAGAGAGGCGTTTCAGCGTGTGGTGTATGTCTGTTAAATAAACATGTCTTGTGAACAATAAAGACAAATTTCCCCCTGAAAGATGAAAAAAGATCGCCATTGCCACTAATAATAGTCACAGTGGATATATATTCTCACGTTTGATCTGTCTTGAGTAAACTTGAGTTTTAAAGGGTATAATCAATCATTTAGGCACAAAAATATTGTTTTATGTATACCTAAATCTATGCTATATCTAACTTTCCCTTGTCTTTGTGGGTTTATTAGTGGCTCGAGTTCAAACATTTGGCCGCGGCAAGGACCCGGCTAGGAAACGGCCGTGCCAGGGGCAGCGAAATGGCGCGACCTGGGAACATGGCTGCAGTGTGAAACTAATTCAAGTGAGATAATGCATCGACCTCTACTTAATCTGCAAATGCAGAGTTTCTTCCCCTACCAGTCAGGAGATCTCGGATGGTCACATTGTGACCGTCAAAACCGGTCATGACTCATAACAACAATACTTGTTCCCAGAGAAGTAAGTTTCCCTGTTCTCTAAAATAAACAGTTTTAATTTCACAAACTTGAAAGTTTTTACGTGTACATACCTACAAAAATTAAATATGTTGAAAAAAAATAATTCAATATACAAACCGTTTATCTCAATGCATTTTTTATTCGATGTATCCAGCGGTCAAACACAGTGACCATGCCCGCTTCAGTGTTCTTAGCGCAGCATTAATTGCTTTTAGCACCTTTTTAGCTTCGTTTTTATCGCTGCCACCTTAGCACTTTAATTTTGGGGAAGAAATGAAAGTCACAAGGAATAAGGAGACAGCTTTTATTTAGAAGAATCATAAAGTTACGAAACATGGATGTATTAATTGGACCCAGAACTGAAAAGACAATCAGCAGAATGGAGAAACAGGATCACCACAACCCCAGAAAGCTTGACGCAAGCAAAGAGCTTTGAAAGTGGTGGACACTATGTTTTTCCATCACAAAGGTGTGATTCTGAACGGACCGATACCTGTTGGCAGTGATGACTATTACTCTTACAAAATAGTTCTTCAAACAAAGCTGAGATCTCTGCAGCCTTACTGTTGCAGGTACTCCTTGGCTCCTTTTTACTGCTGCATTTCAGCCATACCCCTGATCTCATGATAGGTAAGATCTAACACCTAGCCCTCTCGGATAAGGGCGACAAGTCTTGGAGGTTCGATGTGCAAGTTGCGTAGTGTCCCGCACGCTCTTATGAGCTATGCAGTTGCAAAGCCGTGAAACACTTACCAAGCAAACAACAAAACAAGAGCTGATATCAACAATCAGAAGAAAGCCGCTAGGTCTACTTGGGAAAAGTGCTGTCTTCCATCGTGACAGCATGCCCGTCGTGCACACTTCTGGAAAGGTCACCGGTCTCTAGGACTTTAGGCAGTGGGAAATTCTTCAACTTCCCCGCTTTTCCCCACTCTTGACACAATGCGATATTTCTTCTTCAAAATTAAAGGACTAAATGGGGCACCTATCTGAAGACGAAGAAGAAATTAGTGTGCTCTACACAACAATATACCGTTCTAAGGACAGTGGATGAAGATTGCATGGTCACCGCGTTTGACCGCTATCTGCATCGCATGAAAAAGTCCTGTGTGATCAACGGTTGTTATGTTGGGTAGAAAAAAAAATGTGTCTTGAGGTTAGAGGTGGGCAAAATCCGGATAATCTATAAGGATAACCGCTCATTGCCCAGCCCTACTTGAGGTATGTGCACAAAAGTATTTAAAATTATTTTTTGTTTGTTTTTGTCTGAAGTCATTGACTTTACAGAACAGGGAAACTTATTTCTGGGGCAGACCTCGTCAACATAGACCTCGTCAACATAGTCTCACAATTAGATAGTTTACTCGCAGTCGTGGTTGGCATCTCTTTTAAATGGTCGCATTATTCTGATTGCCTTCCCGTTGTTGAAAAATTGAGAGAGAGAGATAGAGAGAGAGAGAGAGAGAGAGAGAGAGAAAGAGAGAGAGAGAGAGAAAGAAAGAGAGAGAGAGAAAGAGGGGGG